CCCCGTGACTCAACAATAACGCCAGTCTGTATAATTAAAGGTTGAATGAATGAAATATGTATATATATAGATATCTTTCCAGGTAATTACCACATGAAATGATATGTATTTTAGTATGAACACATGCTAAGTGTGTGACAAACAGGCTGAGGTCACTGGATTCTTCTCAACACCTCCATTCACTGCAGCTGTATGGGCGGTGGAAGAAAAATCAGCCCAAAATAACTTGTCAGTGTAGATGAGTGTATCACTGCACAAACTGAGGTGTGTGTGGGAGTATGGGGGTATAAAGGATGTGGTTCAAAACAAGAGTTATAGAAAGATAAAGGTCAGTAAATGATGTTGAAAGCAGTTTTGTTTTAAGTCCTCGCTTACGCTTTGACAGAAAGCTTCATTCGTTTCTCTTTGCTTGCCTTCTCTGAAGAGTAGCTCATATATGAAAGTGCTGTCAGATTAGGTTGAGAGTGCATTGTGTTTCAGGTCTCTTTTGCTGTTGTCTCACAAAAAGTTCAATAAAACTACACAGTCTGATGGATGTCTGTCCAAAAATGGTTGGAGAATCACAACAACTGCCAATGCAATTTGAAAAAGTTGAGACGTATGAAATTGCAAAAAAAACAAAAACAGAATGCATGCAATGATCGGCAAATCTAATAAACCTATTGTATTCACAGTAAAACATTATAAACATATAAAATGTTTGAAGTAAGAAATTGTATCAATGTGGGGAAAAATATGGTAATTTTGAATTTGATTCATGCATATTATTTAAAAAAAAAATTAAAAAAGTGATCAAGGCAACAAAAGTCTGTAAATCTATATAAATATGAAACAACCAGAGGAGCAGTTTACAACTAATTAGATTAATTGTCAACAAGTCTGTAAGAGGATTAAAAAGAGAATTTTAGAGAGGCTGAATCTCTCAGAAGGCCAGACAGAAGTTCACCAGTTTAAACTAATCTAAAACAACGATGCTAAAGATAGTGGAACAATTTCACAGTAATGGTCCTCCACACAAAATCAGAAAAACAATGACTATACCCCATGAAGCATGCGTTTTTAAATTTACGTTTTACACATCATCCCAATTTAGTCAGATTTAGGGTTGTCCTTTGAGCCTTCTTTCTGGTGTTTCATACTCTTTTCAATCAGCCAAACAATTATTTTGGCCACTTTGTGCAAAATAAGTCCAGACACTGTGAACTGTGGCTCTGTCTAATTTGCCCAATTTAACGCATGATACCCACTGAGAAACAATCGGCTCACTGCAAGCACTTGAGCTTGTTTATTTGTTACGCAGAAACACTTAAAGACAAAGAGCTCACTTGGTTACAGGTTATACTGTGAGATGCATCACACTGATGTGCAGAGAAAGTCTGTTTATGGAGAAACACACAGATTTTAAATTGACATGTTGGTAGTAGCTCAAACTCGCCTCCACAAACCCATCATCGCATCGCCGCTCAGTTGCAGAGGGGCTCTTGTTGTCATGGTGACGTGGCCTTCACAGCTGATTCTGCAAAGCAAAGTTGTACACATCATTACTGGAAACTAATAAGGTTTTTTTTTTTTTTTTTTTTTTTTTTTTTTGTAAAATGAAAATGCTTGTAAATGCAACATAATTACATTTTTTTGGGATCCCCAAACTTAAATTCCTATAGTATTTTGTAATGGAAGGTGGTAGAGGTGGTAATTCTGATATTTTTATATGATTATGGGTTATTTAAGCAAATTTAAAAAACAAACAAACAACAACTATAATTTAGGTAAAATTTACCCCAGAGACCAGGGATTTTGACCCAAGGACAGCAAGAGGATTAAGCTAAATTCTATAGATTATTTTCATTTTTATGGTCATCAAAATATTAGAAGATCCTGCCCTTTGCATTTAACTTTAAAGTTACATTTGCACTATTTATAATAGGGATGCACAATATTGGATTTTTGGCCAATATCCAATATGTTAAAACTTATT